TTGCACACAGTTTTTTCTTATTAAAACATATAAACATCTTAAATGGACACAGAATTCACCATTAATAAGTCAGTTTTTACCAAGTTATTTCAAGGTGGCATGATGTTCTATCTGTTTGTCAATATTAAAAACCTGTGATTTCTCAGACTGTACCCCAGTGCTGTCCTTTCAACCGCGATTCCAGCGTGTCCTTCAACTACACTCACCTGAAATGGAAGAGATTCACAAGGGCACCGCCACATTTTCACTGTTAGAACCAGTTGTATTTCAAAGATGAAACAAGAATTGAAACCTTGCAAACACCAGCCAGTGGCTCCAACTGAAATTCCATATGGTCATAAAAAAACCCCTCACAGCTTTACATTTATTCAAAGCATGGCAACTGATTCTGGCTGGGATTTATGTACTCTGGACAAACAGCCAAGCTCAGCCCAGTTTCCAGAGTTATTAAGAAGTATTTTCAACTCAGCATGCCTTGGTTAGTTGATTCTTCTGTGCACCATATATGCTGTGACACTAAAATCTTGTTTGAAGAACACACAGCCATCATTTGTTTTTACAGCAGCCATCAGCTGACAAACTTACCCGGCCCACTGAAGGAATGGGCTTCCTATTTTTGAATTACTCACCAATCCTACCTGATTTCTAAAGTCACACTTGCCAGAGGAATATTTACCAATCACAGGAAAAAAGAAATCCTATTTATATAGTAAATATTTACAGTTAGTCTATTACCACACACAGCTAAGTAACTTTAAGATGTGCCTTTCTTCACTTTCTCCCTCAGTGGGAGAAAAAATGGAGATGCAGAGCAGAGAGAATTAAGGATGTTGTCAGAAATCACTGCCATTCTTGCAAGAGGGAGACAGAGAACTATCACACAAACATCTTGCCTCAAAAATCAAGTTACCTCAATGTTGTATTTAAGAACTCAGTCTAATTACTTGTTTTACATCAGCACCTTTTGCTGCAGGACCTCAGTGTACTGCAGAGTAGACACTGGGAGAGGAAAGTGTTATTCCCACTAAGAAAGTGAAGAGCAGAAGCGTTTACAGTCTTTTGGTTTTACAAGACAAGCATATCTCACACATATACAAAGAAATAAAAAATAAAAAACCAAAACAAGTGGCCACATCAGAATAGCATCTGAGAGTTCTCAGTCCCAACCCACTGATTTAAGAAAGTTTTAATCTGACTAAGAGCTGGTCTGCACAGTGATATTGTCCACACACCACTGAAGATGTGATGTTAAATCATGTTATTAAACCAGCAGATAAAAGCAGTATAAATACTCTTCCTTTAATTGAAACTAAGTTTACTGTAGTTCACTTTACAGACCTGACTGTACACAAGTTTTATCTCTTCCTGACTAGTTCAACAGAGTTTAAAGCATGATCTTGGATGTGTCTACAGCAGCTGAAACGCTGCAGCGAGCCATAACAAGCTCCTTTGCCAAGAAAAGCTTGCAGGACAGGGTCTTGCTGAGTCAAAATTCCTCCAGCTGGAGCTCATGGCCACTTCAGAGCTCATCACACAAGCAGGAGCTCCTGCCTGCAGCTGGACCCTGGCTCCCAGCCCCCGCCAGCTTCCCAAAAATCGAGTGAAGGGCTCTCCTCTGACACAGATGTCCCTGTAAAAAACTACAGGCCTTGAGCCAACAATCCAACCCCGCTGCAAGGAGCCACTCAGATGCCTCAGCCGCCTCCAGGGAAGCTGGATGTCCCTGTTTATCTGGAGGTCTTACCCAGACAAATAAAAATCCACTTAAAACAACAACCAGATGAACCCAATTTTATGAGCATTTTAAGCGGTTCACAGTGGTTCGTGAGTCCTGTAGTGATTTTCTTTTCCACACAATTTCTAATCGGTCCAACGTATTTCAAATGCCCAGCGGGAGGGAGAAACGAAAGCAGGAACTTGTAGAGTTTAAAATATCTCCACAATTCAGCAATTATGATCAAAGTAAAAAGCAAGCAGTACATTTGCAGTGCTTACACATGACAACTTTTCCCAGTAAGCCTTTTCACTGCCATCTCCAGGTGATCTTAAAAGATGGTAAACAGATTATCGAGAACATCAAGACAATATTCCTTCCATGACCCCGTGAGTTTTTTCTATTAAGTGAGGTTTCTCAAACACCTACTGTTTGTACTCATTTTAATTTTTATTTCTACACTTGCTTAGAACTTATCTGTACTTACTTTGTACACCCATCATTCTAACCTATATTCCCAAACAGTTAGCTGAAAGAAAAGGACAAGCAGGTAGGGGTTAAAAAGTAAAGGAAGAAATAAATAAGCGGGAATAATTATGGGGAAAAAGTTTATTTTCAAATCTTAGAGAAAAGCAGAGTGTAAAAGAAATAGGATATTCCTTATAATAGAAGACATAGACCTACCTTACAACAAAAACTATAGAAAAAAATGTCCTTACTGTAGGTAAGAAATGAGACAATGAAATGCAAAGAAAAGGCTCCAACAGAGATTGGGAGGTGCATTGAAAAAAAAACCTGCAGAGGTGAAACAGATGGGGACATATTTCTTTTCAGCTCATGCACTGAGTGCAGTCTGCTGCAGTCACCACAGAAACCCACCTGGAGACACAACTTCTGAGTTTATATTATTACACAGTACTTATATCTTATTAATATATTATATTAACAATATTATATAATTTATATTATTACACAGTACTTATATCATATTGATGCCTTCAGGCACATTCAGTGCTTTTGAAACACATCCACTCCTTTCCCAGCATGTCATTTGGCTTTTGGAAAACGTTCTTTTGTTGGTTTTTCGTTTT